CGGCTTCCATAGAGCTCGAGGGGATTGTCTAGGGTGTGAATCTAATCGAGTTCCTAGGTTTCCATCCGGAAATTCTTCGCTTGGAAATCGTGGGAAATTCCTGTTAGATATTTCATGCCATTTTTTTCAAGATTTATCAGAGAGCAATGTCCTGGGAATGTCCCACAAAGTACTAGTCAAAGTAATAGCCTCATCCCTGCCTGCATATTCTCAGAATTTTTTCAGATTCGTCGCGAATGTCTTCTATCTTGATCCATTATTATTCTCTCTCCTTATCCTTGCCGGCGTCCCACCTTTTACAGTCATAGTCTCCGGCGAGATGCAGAGAAGCGAGAGGAGGAGTAAGAGACAGTCCATGCCTCTTCTGAAAGTTCTCGGCCTCCACGTGAGTTTCTCGTCGAGTCACTCCATTTCATAGTCTTTTTCCTTGTGCTTAGCCCCCTAGTGATGCCCCTTAGTCGACTTAATCGGACTTTGATTTCTTTGCTTGAGCGGAATCTGGTGACCTTTATTGTTCTATCCCATGTGGCTCCTACGGTCGGGTTTTACATAGCCCTTACAAGAGCGGAATCGCGTCCTACGCTTATTAAAATATCCACCCCCATCCAGTCAGAGAAATAAATTAAGTTTCCATGGAAACTTGCTAAGTTTCCAGACAACGTCTCGGGTGGGAAAAACGAAGGCACGATAGGCAAGATAGAAAATGTGTTCATCAGTCCTCAGGAGATATTGCGATAAAAGAAACGCAATCATTATCATTAACAAGGATGGGATCCTCATCCCCCAATCCCCTGCGCAACAGCAAATTAAAATTATTTCCCTTCTACCACTAAATTTTCAAAATCCTGGAATGGCAGAAGTGCAACATTTTTGTACTACTTCCTGACCCCCAACCCAGCTTGCACTGATATCGGCTGGAACTGGATCGGCGCCGTAGGGAATGGATCTGCAATAGACGAGTAAGAAGATTGCAACTGTCAGAGAATCGACTTGTCAATTATAAAAAACCTCTTCATACTTTCCTGCCGAAGAGGGGGATTCATCAGAAGGAAGGGCAAAAAGGCCAAAAGGAGACGCGTTCTTTCATTTAATAATTATCTATTCTCAGCCATCGTTAATAACCCATGTACAACAATATAGGATAGTAAATGCTTATTTTGCTTTCTCTTTCCCGAAATATTTTTCTCTCCATCCATATCCAATGTGAAAATTAAATGAATTAAATGTGAAAATATGATTTTTAATGAACAAGAAAGTAAATAACTGCATTGCATATACAGTATGATCTTCATATAGTGGATTTGATGAATGCCATATTTTAATGAATGCACTTTATTTTCTAAGAATAAGTGACTAATACTTCTGATTTCTCCCAGTATGGTGAAAGAAACTAACAATAAATATATATAACGGGTTAAATCATTCCAATTAATTACTTGTGAGCGTGTATCTGCTCCCATTCGATATAATGCTCGTAAATAATCACTTCTAAATATGCGCTCGTTTCATTAAGAATAAAGATAATCTCTCTCCCCTGAAAACTGTAACTCGTTTATGAATGATTGCAAACAATTTCATGGATTTCATGTGGTGGTTTTCCTTCTCGGTTTCTTAGGAACCTCCATACCTGATGCGATCGGGGGAGGATTACGAGACCAACACGAAATACGAGGGTTTCCTGGTGGACATGCTGGACCAGTTGGGGAATCTGGTCGGCTTCGAGTACGAGATCGACATGGTCAAGGACGGTAACTATGGAAGCTACAACAACGCGACTCAGACCTGGAATGGACTCATTGGAGGAATCATAGCCGGAGTAATTATATCAAATTTTATCCTCCTCTTCCCATTGAACTCGTTTGCATGAATGGACCGCAATTTGACTCCGGAGCTAATCCAAACAAGAAAAATTTGTACATTAAAGGAAATCCTCGATGTACTAGGTAAATCACTTGCATCTTAGAAGGGAAAGACTATCTGCAAAGAATACTGTCAGGTCCCTAAATCCATAGATTTGTGGGCCCCGAAAATGTAGGCTGGTTTCCTCTACGGTTGTTGGAACTCTATCCGCATGCTTCTCTTATTGCATTTGTTACATAACTTTCGCCGGCTGGGGACGCCCTCCTGTATGAAAGAAAGCTGTGCTCACCGAGCCCTCATACCCCATCATCCATTCCCTTTTCTATATGATAAACTTATGCGATCGGCTCTGCTTTTCGTAGCATTTCTAACATCACAGCGCAAAACAGTAGAAGCATCAAATAGTATCATTTTAAAAAATTAAGAAATAAAACGAGGATCAGTTTGAGAAGCCCAATTTGGTGTTCTACGTAAGAAGTTCCATGTTGTCTTCGACGATATCCCAAGTTTTTCCTGGTATACTACACCAAATCATAAGAAACGTGAACTACAGGATATATATTGAGATAAATAGCGGTACTGAATCATAATGTATGTTTATAATATGGGATCATATAACGTAAATTGAAACGACAATGACGTTGTCCTTCCCTAACTTCTCCATGTCCTATTCAGAGCCATTGTTTAATGTCTGAACCAGGAAGCAGACCTGGCAGCAGCTCCTCTCACGATCACGTCGGGTCGTTCGGATGCGGTTGTCTTCTCGAAGCCCTGGATGTACACTGGCATAAGCATTCTCTACAAGGTCAGGAAAGCTTTTCCGTCTCGGTCATGGGAACACTTCCAGCATTCGGTAGAGGCATAGAGTTGAGGAAAATATTGGGATGTTAGAACGGTGTACAGACACGGTGAACCTTCGAAGTGACACAATACATTTTCATAAGAGCAACTTCTTCCATTTTCGATATAAAAATGTAATTTATTTTCATGGGAGTTTTGCAGCATATTTCATTTAATTTTTAAGATTAAGTATTATTGTACGTGACTTGAAGTGTTTCACAAAAGATCTGCTTTTAACTAAGAAATTATGAAATTTCATTAAATTTAATTTTTAAAGATAGGAAATTTACATTTCTTTCATAATATCCAATTGAAGACCACTGAACGAGCAACTTTAAATGATGCACATATTTTTCACAGCATCTTCCCGTGGACTCCGGTAGTGGATGGATGTTCCTGCGTCCCTTCACATTGTCCACGTGGATAGCCGTGGCAATCATGTACGTGGCCGTGTCGTTAGCGTATTGGGTAGTGGCCAGGTGCTCTCCCGAGGAGCGGCGGAGGTCCACAGAGAGCGGAGAACCTGTCTTTGGCATCTTCAATACCTTTTGGGCCGCCTTCACTCCTCTTCTCCTAAGGGGGAATCAGGAAATGCCGCAGGTATGGTCCAGACACTATCCATGCGCTTCTTTTTTTTCACGTACCACGACTTTATGCAAAAAGAAACGTCGCTTGCAACCGGACGATTTATGGAAGAAGGCATGTGTTTCGGAGGTTTCATTAATCAGGATACGATGTCTTAGGAATATGTTCATTCATTCTTTAGTGTTCTCTCGATTACTTATCAAAAGTTAATCGAAGTTCGATTACGGCAGGGATAAGAGCAATCTCGGATATTCCCGATTCTGGGTAACGGACTCAGCCTCGGGAATTGGGAAGCTTAGTCTGGAGCGACATAGCTATAGTGTAACCATAGGCGACATCCCTATTCATTCCTGCAGAATAATTTACTGCGGTAAATTTGAAATGAGATGGGGGGAGGGGGGGGGGAGAGAGGTCTTCTGCACGAAGGATGTACTCTAGAAGTTGTGGAAGGTAGTGGCTCTGAATGCTACTAGTAGCAATCAGTGTACACACACATTCTACGTAAAGGCATTTAAGGACGATTTGTACATTATTGATAAATCTGGAAACTTTTATCACGTTTCTTCACACTCCAGAATCCATTTGGGGATCCGTCAGAAAGTGGATCTTTCAGCACCGTTCGTACACCATTTGTCTTAATATCCCAAGATCACCTTTGACTTATTACAACGCTTGCAATCTTCCACTGCCACCATTCACAATTGATGAAATGGAATACTACCTCGCATTAACTCGACTTCGAAGCTTTCTCTGCTCTGCTCATTCGCCAACTTGCGGCTAGCCTTCCTTCGATAGGAAACACGTGACTAATCAACCTCACTTCATCTCGAGTCTCCTCGAGTCGGCGCTGAAAAAATTGCCAATAATTATAATTTTCAGTGGAGGATGGGAAACAAGAGTGGGCTCGTGTTTCACATTTTCCGTCGACCTCACCAGTTTTCTCAAGGATCGAGCTTTCCCGTCTACAAACTGGAACCCTCTCATCTACTCGAGATAGATATCTTCTAGTGAAGTCAAACTGATCCGTTTCTTCAATCGTCTCACCTTCATATGCTAGAGTGCTTCATCGTCACGCATCCGTTGTCTCTTTGAGTGGGATTCATTGTAATAGGAGAGTAGTGCCAGCATCTTTCTGTTTGCCATTATCTTCCCATTGTTCCCTCTAAGAATGGACAAAACAATGCCGTCATCGTGTAATGAAGTATTAATAGTTCGAAGACCATATTTGAAAGACTAGAAAACTTTCTTCAACCAACCCTACCACCCTCCCCCTCATCTCAACGGACTCACAAACGTTAGACCTAGGCCTAACCCACACGGAAAGGAAGGAATTCACGTCAGGCCTTGGCCTACCTTTTGTGTTCAAAGGAATCTCAGCCCTCGACTTACGGAGCCAATTAGACCAATTGGGCCTATTTCGAGTTTTTCGAAATATCTCGGTGAGGACGTGTAAATTTAGACCTATCTGGAGCTATCTCCAGCTATCTCGACGAGGTCTGTGTACAGCAGGGCTTCCCAACCTTTCTCACGCGCGACCCTAAAAATCAATTTCGTACTGTTCCCGACCCCATGCACTGGGCGAAGTTAGACAGGCTCCCCTACCTATGCACTAAAATTGCAAAGAAAAACGTTACTTTGCATTTAGTTGCCGGTTCGCGACCCCAAATATTATCTTTGCGACCCTAAATGGGGTCGCGACCCCTGGGTTGGGAAGCCCTGGTGTACAGACTTCCTCCGAAATACAAATGCTCGTTGGACGTTATTCTCAGCAAGAATCTCCATGCACGGTATATCCGTATCCCACCACATCGATCGATAACCGCTAGCCACTGTTTCAATCTCAGCTCGTCCCATAAACTCAGCACAAAAATGTATCCTTCATTTAAAAAAAAAAAACAGAAGACCTTGGCTCTGACACAAATGTCATGAATCCGATTTAACTCCAGCACGATATCCGGCAACCGTGGGGGATGGGACAAGAGTCTGCAGTTAAGCCTAAATATACAACTAATTTTATTAGCTCACAGCGAAATGGTGCATCGCCAAAAAAGGAAAGGGTTCGCTCAACAGTAATTTCTTTTTGATTAGGCTATCTCCCCAAAAAATTCCCCCAGTTTGGCTACTTAATAAGGGTGGGGAGTAGAAATGGAATATACTTATCGGCACGAAGTCGGCATCCGCTAAAAACGAGATACTGATTTCTCCATATCCTGGGGAGATTTGACAGAATTGCGGGAATATATTTTCTGTCGAAAGGGTAAAGGCCAATTCACATTGTCCTTCGGCGAGGCCTCGCCGCAGCCTCGCCGAAGGTGCGGCGTAGGTTCTCGTTCACATTATCCGACGCTCACTTACGGAGAACCAATGGTAAACGTGAGCAGACAAAGAGATTGCACCAATCTCAGTTCGATGCTGGAATGAAGATGGCAGCGTACAATTTTTGAGACCATAAGCGACTACACAAGCCTAGAGTCAATCATATAGGCTAGGCTGATTCAGGTTTTCAGAGCTCGTGCTGGCCGCCATATCAATCGGCGTTCCTATTGGTTTTCCGTAAGTACGTCGACAACTCCTCATTGGCTATCCGTAACAAAAGTTTGGCTCCTTGAACTCCTTGCGTAGGTGCGCCGCTGCTGCGGTGTTGCTTCGGCGTAGACATTAATTCCGTTCTTTTCTATGGGCGCGTTCAGACATGTCTGCGCTGCACCTTCGGCGAGGCTGCGGCGAGGCCTCGCCGAAGGACTATGTGAACGGGCCTTAAGAAGTATACCCAATTTCTCCATTATGCTCTAAGAGAGGAATAATAGGAAGTGAAATTTTGTAAGGGGAAGGGGTTGAAAAAAGGGGAATAGGCACTACTGCGCATATTGATGAGTGCTGCGTCCTTCAGCAAAGTTTGCAGGAGGGAAGAAAAGCTGGGAAAACTGCCTTCGATCTTCTATATTTCTTTTTGCCATTCTTTGAGTCGCTGGGGTATACGGCTGGGATCTGAATTAGAAGATTGCACGATTAAATGCGGATATAATTGTACAAAATTTCCCCAACGCTGCCTGTTGCAAAAAATGACATAAATCAGATACATTGCTTCATTTTGAAGCCTGCAACTATGGGGTAAATTCGATATTGTCAGCTGCAGTAAATTCATGTCTTCGTTGTGGAGCTCACAAGTAATGTATGCTTCATATGCTGCACATGGCCGTACATAATAATAAAAAAAACTATTGTTTATCTCGCAGGCCCTGTCAACGAGACTCCTGACGGGGATCTGGTGGTCTTTCTCCTTCCTCATCCTCGTCCTCTACAGCTCGATGGTGGCGAAGGAGTTCACGACGGGGCATTATAGACCCAAGGTTTCTTCCTGGAAGGACCTTGCCGATCGAGCCGTCAATTTCGGGGCCATCAAAGGGGGTTCCACGCAACGGTATTTCAAGGTCAGTCGACGGTAACAGAAAAGAACAGACGTTTGGAAGGAAATAATGCCGAAGGGCAAGACAAAGAAACATTTACTAAACATTTAATTTGTTTTTCGTCTTTAAAATATTTTAAAAATCTTATATGTTTCCGTTCGTTTTATAAAACTTTTTCGAATATTTTCTTGAAGTACAATTCGATGTTTGACAGACGTCGCAGATTCCCGAATACCAGAAGATCGCCGAATATCTGGCTTCGCACCCGGAACTCTCATCCTCGAACTTAGATGAAGGAGTGGATCGGGTGCTAAAGAATCCACCCTGTAAGCGGAAGTAGTACCTCTGATGCAGGCGGCTCATGGAACGTCGGTGAGCTACACTTTTGGAACAGCAACACCCTGGGCTTAAAGTAGCTTCACGGATACCGGAACGAAACTCCTTCCCATCGTCGAAGTTCTATCTGCTTGCAGTCTCGGCTTGCACGTGCTATTTTTTTCCATTTTGCAATAGTACAAAATATGATGGCAAAAGAATTATATGTAGGACTAAATATGTTGGGCGGATTGGACATTTGAATTGGCCACATTATTTAGAGTGAGAAATTGAAATATATATATAACCCACAAAAAAGTTTAGCAACCCTTGATATTCACGATGGTAGTATTATAAATATAAAATCTAAAAAAATTGCTACATATTTTCTCCTGTTGGCTTTACTGTAGGGTATTGTTCCCTAACATTGAAAAAAAATTAAGGATTTGATGAATGTATTGTTTTTTAGGAATGATTACGACGGGTTAAAAGATGCTGAATGGAAATCGACATGTACCAACCGATACACGTTCGTCACCGCTGAACAATTCTAATTAAATGGTGAACTTTGAAATTGATGAATGTATTGTTTTTTAGGAATGATTACGACGGGTTAAAAGATGCTGAATGGAAATCGACATGTACCAACCGATACACGTTCGTCACCGCTGAACAATTCTAATTAAATGGTGAACTTTGAAGTTCACAACATGGAAATGTCTAGATTTTCAAATGCCCAAGGCAACGGCATCAACTGCAGACAACTACAGGGGTTCAACGACAGTCAGAAACCGTCTCCAAGCTACAGGTTTGCTAGTTCGCCATCCAGCCGTGAGAATGCTCACACACAATTTTACTGTTGACGTCCCCATGATTGCTTCAGAGCTCTCGATGGAATCAAGAGTGATGGCGTTTTACGCTGATCACAGATGTATCTCGTTTCTCAACATCGTTTAAATGTGTGTGTACAGACGCCAAGGCGAGAGGTTTGCCAATGCTGCGGTTCAGGAACATGATCGATATAGTCGAGGCACAATAGAGGAGTGGGAAGGTGTCAATGTCATCGGTAGGTGTTCTTTGCAGATTGTCCATGGAAATCGAACAGGGCGATGCTAGAGCGATGAAATACTGCACCCACCTGCTCTGCCATATTAGCGAATAGGTCACCATCCTAGATGATAATGCGAGACCTTATTGGGCACAGATGGCCAACTAATTCCTGCTGCAGAATCAATCAAGTAAAATGAACGGGCCAACCAATTCCACGTTCTTGCGTCTCTTCAGCATGATTGGGAGCTGGTGGGCAACCACTTTGACCGCCACCCACAGATTCTTCAGACTTTTCAACAATTTGAAGCTCCTCTATGGCAGGAATAGCCAACATTCTCCAGGGTCAAATCCAGAGGATCTCCAGATGCATACCCACGAGTAGGATGTGGTCTTACTCGTTACTAAAGAAACGAAAGTTGGGACAATTTTCCCTGCGAACTACAGCTTTCTTCAAATTTGTATTCTGCAAAGATGGAATACATGGAATACAAGATTTGGTATTTTCAAAGTTTTTTGCTATTTCTTTTTATTCAGGAGAATTGGTTGCTAAACTTATTGTGAGTAGTATTTTTTCCAGAATAAATCATTGCGGATGAAACCTTTAGTAATATGAAGTGGTTGCATCAAGTTCATTAAACCATCAAGAAAGCGTTCAACCCCTTAATCTAACATCCAATCGCATTTTCGCCATTAAAAACTAACGAATTTTAACCATTTTTCTCGAAGGTTCGAACTGGACGGATAAAGTGAACAAAGGAATCTTGCAGCTCCAAGAACAAGGTGCCCTGCAAGCTCTTTACATGAAATATTGGAAGGATCGCTCCAAGTGCCCTGACACCACTAAGCAGTTCGACCAGCCTCAACTAGACTTACCTCATCTAGGTTAGCTCATTAATGCATTCAATGCAACTAGATTAAAGTTTTCAACTTTATTAGGTTTTTAAAAAATATTTTCCATGAATTCAATAGGTGGGATCTTTGTAGCGCTAGGAATCAGTATATTCCTGGCTCTTCTGATCGCCTTCGTAGAAGTGTTTCTCTACGTCCGCAAAAGAGACTTGACTCAGGTCAGCGAACTCCATCTCGATCATTTACTACAAAGGGTTTAGTTGAGTTTCTTACGTCCAGAAAAAGCTTATTCATTCTGAGCCTTTAATTGCCATTTTTTGAAAAGTGCTGATCGGTTATGATATACGATTTGAAGGCATGCTCTGCTGTGGCAGTTCGTAGATGGTATTATTATTTGGCGTAGGAATTTGAAAAAATATTGAGCCATCGAAAGTCCAAGAAATAATTCTACGTGGGAATATTTGCGGACTTTTGAGGAAGTAATGGCTTCTGCTAATAGTTTTGGACTACTGCGTAGCTCGCTCGTGCAAATGTTTTCAATTTTTTTTTTCCCCAAAACCTTTCCATGTTCGATATCCAGAATTTCCCAGGCATGCGGCATTTTATGCTTTATTTTTGCAGTCCCTGCGCGAGGCACTGGTTGGCGAATTTCGACAAATCTTCGGTCTCGCCGGTTCATTGCCTTCTGATCGACAAGTGCTGACCGAAAACTCCTCATGAAGTATCGGACATCAAGTAGTTTCCAAAAATCGTCTCACTTTCTTGCTGTTGTTGACAATACATGTACTGTTTTATGCTACTGGATGGAAGAAACTGGGCCGTTGCGAAGGTCTTAGGCCTACTCAAGTTGTGAGAAAACGTATGAAAAAGTAGGATATTAATTATACTGAATACGTCAACTACACATTGTAGAGAAAAGATGGATTAAACTAAACTAGAAACAGGTCTCTGCTCCCAAGCTCTTGCACCAGTGTTATGACAGTAGTTATTTAGGCTAGGACTGACAAAGGCGTCCACAACGCAGAGATTCAAAGCCCCAGAGTTCTTTATCTATAGAAAGTCGATTTTACATCCTTCATAACGTCCCAGTCTCTCCGGCCCCAGTCGAGTGAAACTCGTCTCATCGAATTTCGCAGATCTTATTCAAGAAACTGATATGATGATGGGAAGTATCCAACGAATTGAGCAAAAAATGGTAAAATGAATGAAATTTATTCATCTTGAACAGGCAGCAATAGCTGTAACCAAATAAATTATTCGGATAAATAGCAAAGCGAAGTCTTTCCTCAGAGATCTCCCGACGGCACAGATTCGAATCTTCTCCAGGGTGGAATGTCAACTCGATCGATACAACTTCAATGAATATCGATTGCCTTTGTTTGTCCATTTCGCCTAAAGGCGAAAGAAAAAGACAGCCTCGGTTGGGTCTTCGAGGGGAAGGAAAATGCTTACTTCTCAGGTTGATTTGATCAACAAAAAATATACGAGGCGCTGCAATCAGAGCAGCGATTGCAAAACAACCTAGGCCATCAAAAATCTGGATGGGGCCTGTATTGTGCAAATAGTAGAGGCATAAATTTATCACGATTCCCGAAGTGCAGGGAAATGCATTCAGTGATGGGGAATCAACTTTCGATGACTCTTAGGATCCAGGGTTTGTAGTAAGTCATCTTCATGTAAATACCGGGGAGATTCGGCCACGCACATTTGATGCCGTGAGAAACGGTTCCTGCCAGTTCCCATCGACCGTCCTCCCGTTGGAGCATCAGGGGTCCTCCACTGTCTCCCTGTAAACAAAAGGAACAATTAACAGAGATCTTCCTTGAGCTGCGCTCTCTGGGAAGCACTGCTTGAGGCATTCAAAGAGGCAAACAGGGCAAAACACGGGAAGCAATATAGGCCAACAACTTTTTTTTAAGATGACGAATGTTATTTACTGTTTCCTGTAATGCATTCATTCGGGGAGGCCAATACAAATAACCAAGCTTCAAAATAGGGAGTAAAAATGGGTGATTATTATTTTTTTTAATGGAGAATTTGCTCTGGGCTTCAGCAAGGCTTCCTTTTTTTAGCAATATTTTTCAGCACCATGCCATGGCAGACTGAGGGAAACAAGGTAAAATGAGATCTACCCATCGGTTCCAACATAGGATTGATGAGTTCATAAGATTCTCAATGAAGACGATGGACCTGGAGCTGCTTGAGAATTTTTTGTCTCTTCCAGACTCGAACTTTAATTTCATTTGGAGTCTTTGACTCTCGAGCGTCACCCTCGGCCTAACAATCCAATACCGTTGAGCCTACCGTGAGAAGTTTCCAACCGCATGAACAACTGACCTCATTTCAATGACATTTCCCGAAAAGTGGGAAAACAGACCGTGAGCAGAGCATGCAGAGCCGAAAATGGGTCACAGGACGAGTAGGTGACTCTGAGGGATGGGGAGCTATCATGTTACAGACACAGACTACGCCGCAGCACCCCGCATAAATGCCCTTTGATAGCGCTGCATTCCCAACGAAAGGGCGAATATGACTTCTTTTTTTTCAAGCAGAACTGACCCTATTTTTCGAAGCGAAGGAAAAAGGAGAAATCTTCGTCTTTCCACACGACAGCTGAGTCTTATCTCCCCAGTGCCATGGCGATCCATTGGAAGAATTTCCTACGCTTTTACTTTAACGCCGTCTGACAAATAACGAATCAAGCATTTGAACGCATATGACAGCAAAGCTGATGGATAAATGTGACCCCCATCCCACATGTTCACATGTTCTGACGGTTCAATTAGAGCCCTCTTACGGATGAATGGTTCACACACATGATTGAATGGGCCATTGGAATCGCAAATGTTGCATTGTGTGCAAATATGGAATTTGCCATATCTGGGGCATGAACTGACTTTGAAACACTGCTTCGAATGAGAATATGGCACGAGTCTGATACTGAGGTTTTAAGTATGACTTCCCTTCCAGTTCGAATAACAGAAGCTAGGACTTAAACTGTTCTCCACGCTTTGTGGAAGCTTCACGTGAACTTTCAATGTCTCCAAAAGTAAGCAATCTCAAAGAGATATGCACTGGGAAATAAGTAACTGTGGGCGATTGCTGGCAAAAGCTGAGGATTTAGTCAGTTTCTAGTGAGACTTCAATAATTTTTTTAAGTACGTATTCCTCTCTTGGTAATAGTACACCCGTTTGAGAGATTACTTTGACGAAATTTAAATGGAATATGTGATCGCAAGGACGTCCCATGAGACAGAACCATAAAGTCTTTTTTCCGCTTGATAAAGTTATAAAGTGAATTCACACACGTTTATTCCCATTGCAACATGGCACCCTGAAGCGGTTTGCGAGCTCTTTTTGTTTCTGCTTATCGAGGTGCCGAGGCCATAAGCGAAGAAAAACTACATTGGCACGGACTGTTTCTAATTTTTTCTCGGACCCATGTCGAATGCTGCGTATCTTACTAAGTGCACATTATATAGTGTCATTCGCCTTGTATCTCTCACAACAGATTCTCGTGAATGGAAAATGTTTCATAGTATCACTTAACATTTTTGAGGAATATGAATCATGCAAGACAGAAGAGTTTGAAGGAAGAAGAGAGGATCTTACTTCACAAGAATCCCTCTCTCCATTGGGGTATCCAGCGCACATGAAGGACTCCCGGATGGCCTTCGGGTGGCCTGCCTTGTAGAACATAGCCTGACACTCGCTGTTGGTCATGATTGGCACCTCCACTTGCATCAGGACGTCAGGCACAGTCCCTCCTGCGATTGATCATCGTTATACATAGTAAATAAACTGAAAACAAATCACGACTTCGGAGAGGGGGGAAAACTAATAGTTGAGAGTGGAAGAGTTATTTTTTGATGGGTGGATCACAATTGAATTTTTACAATAAATTTAATAGTTACTCGGAGAAATTGAACAAATAAGAATTACAAAACTAAAAGACATAAAGCCCCAAAACCTGGGACTATGAAACTGTCCACAGAATTTGCAGTATGCCATCGCTTAGAGATTCGAGGAAGTCATTCTCTATTTTCAAGAATTTGTCCAGCAAAATATGATACGAAAATCAGTTTCAAGACTCCAGCTGATCTGGTAGGTATTTTGAAATATCTCACCTCCACGATTAATTAAGTATTGACAATTTCTCCAAGTTACAAGGGCAAAACAATGTATTTAAAGTTCAAAAGATATTCTATAAGTTACATATATATAAATTACTCAATACCTTAACACATTTCTGTCACTCAGAGACAGAGTCACGTAACTATTCCACTTCATGTACGTGTTAATGTTGTCATTCAGAAACGTTATCCTGAGGGGAGAATTTCATAACATTTCTAGCGGAAAAGCGATATTTATGCAGCAGGATTAGCATGTAGAAATGAGCTCAGAACTACTCCACGCGGGGAAGCCATAATGGAATTTCGCTAATTCGATGTCTGAAGTTGTGACTATAATGCCTGCTTCGTCTTTTCCTCTTCCTTATGGCCTATCACAGGACTGAGAGGGACAATCTTTGGAGAAAAAATTGGATATTGGAAAATGGAAAATTGGAAAATTGCTTTTATACATATCTGCTTTGCACTTCCTTTTTCGTGCAGTGGCTTTCTAAATACTCATTTCGAGTTTGGTACTGTGACTTGACAATTTTAAAGGCCTATGGCAAGTCTTCCATTGGAAGTGGGAGAATTTCAAGTGAATCATGCAATTACTTTCCATCATAATTCTTCCATACGTCCATATATCGCTTACTTCTCAAGGTATAAGATGCTCGTTCGTGTCTCAAGCTTCCCTCTCTAAGCCACATGGAATGATCGCGACGAGAAACGAACGTACCATATTTAGTTCTTCCCCATCCAGCGACAAGGGCTTTCTTCCCGACGAAATCTTCATTGTCGTCCGGCAAGCAGATGGGGACGACGTGCGGCCGATACTCCACCGGGGAGGCCAGCTCTGCAATCATCACATGCGATAGTTTTAGCAAACGGGCCAGCTTCAATAGATTTCTTTAGTTGAAATTGATAATATGAAGACGAAAACTTAAATCTGGCTTATTTTTATCAACTGCTAGGACTTGAAACTAGGGAACTCGACTAAGGACATTTCTCTTTCCCTGCACACAGTTAATAGGTTATGGAAGCGGTGACCAAAATGGGCATAATAACATTATGCAAAATGGTGGCTCTTTCAATTACAATTCATTCAAATAAAACTCAAACTCGTTTGAATAAAATTCAAATCGACACCGTTCAGAGGTCATGCACTCGAACTTTCCCCAGACGATTCTGCTAAGGTGCCTCTATTTTCTTCATGTTCCTTTTGCTCAGACGTACACGACACCCATCATCTAACAACACTGTTCTTGACACGCTCTTTGCACGGAATGAAGGGCTCGATCGTCTGATAAAACCTGTTCCTCCTTTGCTGTCATCCGAGTACTATAGCATATCCTGTCGTATCCTGTTAGAAGTACTGACAGCAAGCAACTTTCGACCTCAATCTCACGTAGGATCAAAGAAAAAAACTTGACTGCTTCATTTGCATTTTGTAGAAATTTACGAAGTAGATCGAAATGCATTAACGCAATGGGATCGTCAGTACTTTCCGATATTTTCATGCGGATTTAAAAGAACTCCGTATATTTACTAATATATCCTTTGTATTTTCCCAATAGAAATGTGGCCCATTGCTCCTTCATACCTTCATTAGATGAGGAAACAGAGCTGATACGAGTTACAGGTTCTCTCATCATCTGCGATATCCTCAGATATTTTTTGAATGGTATGTTATTACGAGTACTAATTCTAGTCCACCAGCAAGAAACCCAGGAGTCTCGTTTTAGTAAAGTATCCACAGCGGAACGAACCCAAGAGGGCGATGTCATTCTCGAAAGTCTTGGGGTCGTAGTCACGATGGACAATGATTCGTTTCACGTTCCTCTCCACTGTCCTCATGGGCTCCACGTTTCCGGTCAGATCGAACTCTCCCAACACGACCGTCAGCGACGCTAGGAATCTGCGATTAGGAGGCGAAGAAATCTGTACTCAAATGCTCTACTCGTGTGGGCGTCACGTTTGCGTGAGGAAAATGACACATGGGTGCAAATTATCAAATGTTAAAACATTTTCTCATATGTTGACTTCTTAGTAGCTAGGAATACTTTCCTATTTCAGGATGTTCATTTCGGCAAAATTGTATGATACAAAAATCAGCTCGAATTGCATGCAGACTCTCGCGTATATTGGAATACTACTGTTTCACGTGTTTCGCTCTCTCCCTATGAGAACCATGACTAAGGATATGCGAGCTTGTATACCTCGTACATAAAGTATGAGTCTTTTTCCCACGTCAGCTTCCGTTTCCGATGTCTTTGATCTGATTCCTGATGTCAGCCTCAAAATTTGGAATGCATAAGCCCGAATGTTGCAATCTCCTTTAGTTAACGGTTCCTTGAGAATCCATGGACTCTTTCGGAAAAAATAGCTCTTTAGTTTAAAGGCTCATTTGTCTCCTTCAAATGAGGTTTGTGCATTCGGGCCTTACTTTTTAGAGATACAGAGAATCTACCGTGTGGAATTATTGCTGGAAGAAACGAAAGTTCGGAGCTGCCGGCTCGGTAACGCTTCCAACTGTACAACAACGGCCACGTCATTATAACTCTTTATCAAGGATAATAACATGCCTGTCATATGGTGCAGAGTAATAGCTTGCAAGGCAAAAACCAGGTTCAGCCAAGTGAGTCCAAACTTCCTCTTTTTCGAGATTATGAAAGGGCCTACAAGAGGGTTTCCACTTTCCCTCGGAAGTGATGCAAAGGACCATGTGACGGTTCCTGTCAGATTAAGCTCAGGCATTTCTTTTTTGGACTAGTTTCCGATTAAATACGTTTCTTTTGTGACTACCATATCTCATTCGCACACATTGGCCCATAGTGGTCTCTACTACGACATCACTCTCATAAAGGTGGAAAAAAACCTAGGGCACTGAAATCACAAGCACGTTTCATCGCGAACATCCGGGAAAAAGTGAGATGAAGATACAGACCCTGGCTGGCAGTGCGCGGCCGTGACCACATATTTGTGGTTTAGGAGGACCCCGCCGCACTTGTTCTTGGTGAAGAGCCCCAGCCACGTGCTCTCCTTCACCAGGACGGTCCAGGGCCAGTCCCCGAAATGCGTCTTTGTCCCTCCAACGATCCTCCCCTGTTTCGGGATCATCCGAACACCGCAATCTGGCGACGACAAACGGGACCATGTGGACTTTCCTTCGATTGCCATCCCCTATACTGTACTGTAGCTCAGGGTAAACCATCAAACCAAACCAAACCAAACCATCATCAAATGAATGCATTCCTCGGCATCGAAACATTCGGTACCTCGAGAAACTTGGATTGGAAGGGAAGCCTATCCGTTATCCTGCTGCTTGAAGCTGTAGCTGTGCTGCTCTTAAGACTTTACAAGTGATAGATATCATTCATTCTGCATCGGATCTCGAATCAAGATGTAAAACGAGTGATACCTTTCAAATTCAAAACTCTTGAAGAAACCCAGACGTTACAATTTAATTCGATCCAGCAGATGAAACTTAAAGAACAGGAAAGCAAGTGCCACGAGCTAGAAACACATGAGAAATAAGTAGACGGAAGGCTGAGCGTTCTTACTTGTGCGATAGTCCCAATTGGGCCGAGGAGTCGTTGTCGAGCTTGTTGTCGAGCTTGTCGTCGAGGCAGTAGTAGCGGCAGTAGTGGTAGTAGTTGTGGTAGTTGTAGTGGTACTACTGGTGGTAGTCGAAGGGGGTGTTGTAGCTGTCAAAGGAGGAGAATGAACCGTATATGAAGGTCCAAGAGTGACTGATGGGATGAAAAACAGGGTCGCTGGAGACTGAGTGGACTGAGTGATCAGAAGGGTCGACGAAGGTCGAGTGATCAGAAGGGGCGTACCTGGAAGTACTACCCCAGGGAGGGGTACTTCGGTTCCGGTTTCGAAGCTTTCGACTTCTTGGGTCGGATTATTGGTACCGAAAATGTCTTCGGATATCGGCCTGATCGCTATGAAATTGTGATCTGTGATCGGCCTGATGGGCAAAGGATTTTCCAGGTGTATCAAGTTGATGAATGGACGGCTCGTCGTCAAGAAGAAGGGTGTGGTCTCATCTTGTGTCGTCGAACTGATGCGATTCGTCGCACTCTCCTCGATTTCATCAATTTCATTTTCTGTTTCAGGGTTCACGAAAGTGTAGGGTGGACCGTTCTGCAATGTGTTCTCTAGAACGACCTCTTGCTTTTCCTTGTCTTGACCGAGCACGTAACTCCATGTAACAAGACCAAACCGAGAGGTTGACGTTGGAGGACCAATGTTAAACTGCTGAGATGCAACAGTGTCGACGACTTCAGCAGTATTGGGTCTTGCAGTAGTAGTCCTTGCGGTAGTGGTTTTTGTAGTACTGGGTGTTCCAGCAGTGGTTCTTGCAGTAGTGGTTCTTGCAGTAGTGAGTCTTCCAGTAGTGGGTCTTGAAGTAGTGGTTCTCGCAGTGGTGGTTCTCGCTGTGGTCGTTATTGCAGTAGTTGGTCTTGAAGTAGTGGTTCTCGCAGTGGTGGTTCTTGCTGTGGTCGTTATTACAGTAGTTGGTCTTTCAGAGGTGGTTCTCGCAGTGGTAATTATTGTAGTAGTGGGACTTTGAGTGGTGGTTATTGTAGTGGTGGGTTTTGCCGTAGTGGTTCTTGCAGTGGTGGTTCTTGTAGTACTGGGTGTTCCAGCAGTGGTTCTTGCAGTAGTGGTTTTCGCAGTAGTGAGTCTTCCAGTAGTGGGTCTTGAAGTAGTGGTTCTTGTAGTAGTAGTTCTTGTAGTTGTAAGTCTTCCAGTAGTGGGCCTTTCAGAAGTAAGTTTTCCAGTTGTTAGTGTTGCAGTAGTGGTTTCAGGTGTGGCAGTTCTTCTTGCTGTTGGTGCGGTTGTAATCGATTGCGTCGGCTCCGACGAAGACCTTTCGGTTGCGCTCGTGGAAAGTGGTTTTTCACTGGAAACGATCACTCCACTGGCGTTCGCAGGTCCGTCGACGTAGGACCATGTCGAGATCCTGTTGGGTGAGTGACTAGTGGTTGTGGTGGGTCGTATGACTGCCGTCGGCGGTTGCCGCACCGTCCACGCCAGTGGGGCCTCCGGCAAGACCGGCAGCAGCAACGACGGGTTTCTTTCTTCGGACGAGGACAGATTTTCATCTTCTGCTATCGGCAGAATGATGGTTGGGGGAGGAGACGCCCTCTCTTTCACTGTAGTGGGCGGAGGGAACGTTGTGGTGGCTCTGGAAGGCGCGCGCCTCGTTGATTCGGGCCTTTCCGTCTCCGCTTTGGATTGGAAGAAGTGCTGCCAGAATTCCTGGGCCTGAAAGTATGCAAACAACTTTCTGCCTGAACGGTTTGAAAAAGAAGAAATAAGTATTTGGAGCTAATGGTCCGTATAACCTGAGAGAAACCTGCTGTATTTCGTGTATTGGTGTGCAAGTAGGTCGTTTCCCCCCATTGATTGCCAACAAAAAATTGTACCTGTAGCGTGGACAACGATCTAATTCAGCGAGGTACTCGCGCAGATTCTACGGATGTTTCATTGGCGATTTTTATTGTCCTTACATGCTCCCTGGGCAATGAGGAAAATGCCTTTCCAGATGCAGAATATATTTTTTGAGTGCGCCCGAGAGTAGTCCCTTGACCATTTCTAGATGAGTAGGAAGAGGACTAAAATGGAATCTGCAGCTCGTGTGAAAGGAACCGTTAAATAGAGACGCACGATTCGTGAGGAAAAGCTTGTCCTGTTATTTCATTCAACATTTATCCATGCCGATGGCAAGGGTCTAGTTTTTGAAAGAAATGTGGGCGAGCTACATGAAACTAGTTTTTATTTTAATTTTATCAGCATTCGGATTAAGATCAACATCATTTTTCTATCCGATTACTTCTCTATAATTTCCTTGAGCTGATTTTCGAGCTTTTGCATATAGGCGGAGCTTCCTTTGTATGTAGAAACACATTCATTATAATGGGCGTAGGGTCAAAACTACAGACTTCCTGCTGACGACACGATGACTCACAGAATGGGAAACGTGACGAGTACTCCTCTGATCCTGCTTCGCTACTGCATCGCACCAAAAGCGTCACACCGTCCCGTACCTCTTCCTTTCGCTTCACTCTCATCAAACTCTTAACACATGGCGTACCGAACATTTAACCCCGTCGATTTGCCGCTCTGACCAAAGCTCGATGCCTACAAGGCTGTGACTTTTTCGGCCATAGGCTAAGCAAACGGACTCGCCGAAGGACTCAAAAACGGAGATCTCCGTGAGCGGTACGCAAAGTGTTAGTGTTTAGGATCTTTATCGCAGCAACGCCAGGTGCCAAAGGCTTTTATTGAGCTCTCTTTCGTTGATCAGTAGCAAGCAGTTCGTGCATAGAAGGACTACTATTCTTTAAACGAGGATGAAATCTATTTCTGATTGTTGAGGAGACGAGACAGTGCTCCCGCCTAAACAAGCGATAACAACGATTGTTTTGCCGATTTCGCTAGGACAAGACACATGATAACCTGGGGTGTATATTGGCGGACGATTCCAAAGTTTTTATCTCGTCGCTTGCCAAATTTCGCCCACACACCCCTCTTTTCTGGGAAGTAACTCGAATGGAAGAAGTGAGTTCTCATGGGAAAGACCTAAGTATTACTAGTAGCATATACACCTCTCCAGTAGCGTGCCAAGAACATCTCAATGGGAGGGGAGGAGGGAGGTTCACATATCAAAATTTGGTAACCCACCCTGCATTTATGATCAAATCTAAACATTTTTGAGAATCGAACCTGTAAAATATATCCCAAGGGGGGGAGTTATGACCCCCAAACCCCCTCCCCCTTGAGCACGCCACTGCACCTCTCCATTCATCTTCACCGTTCCTGACACATGTACTGGGGCGTCCCGGAGGAATACGAAATGACTCACTTCCTGAAAGATTTCAGACGCCTCTGTGTTGGTCGTCGGAGCGAGAGACGTCGTAGACGAGATGGGGGTGGTCGAAGAGGATGTTCCAGGTTCTGACGTCCCCATTGAAACTCCGGGGCGAGGAGAATTATGGATGCCCCCACAGCAGGCGCCGATGAGGAAGCCCTCAGTGCAGGGTCCGAGGATGGCCCCCGCTCGACGGTGGCACTCGTAGTTGAACATGCAGATCCCCCACTGGTTGAAATCGCGCCCGCCTCGGCATGCCGTTGCCGACAGGGACAGCTTTGGGTACTCTCTCTCTGCAACGCAAATCAAACACCTGCACTCTGGTCTCAGAACGGAAGATGAAAAACACTTCGAGATTTTTCATTCAGCAGGATTGGCTCTTTGACTTCAAAGGTCTCAAGCTATATTGTTTTAACCCCTTCCGTAGACTTCAGTCACACTGGTGCTCGTGACGAACGCAAAAATATCTGCAATTCGGGGGAGTACATTGCTGAAGTACGAAGGCGCAACCATGTAAGGGGCGTTTCGAATCCTCACTCCAAAGGCTCCTTTTCCATCAGATATGGGAGACTGGTATAAATAGAATGCATGTTTTTGTCGTTGCCGCTGGCAAATCTCCATAACCTCTCATGAAGATATGGAAGATGAGCTAACATGCAGAATTATGAGGAAATATTTACTCATAGTAATTTTGTTTTTACGCTGTCCCATACGTTTATCAGTACCCTACGGAACCAGGGCTTTATTACCTATAGCCTTCCTATGGAACGGCACCAGGCGTCAAGATTGCTACACACCGATCCTCCAAGGCAGAAGGAAGATGGGAGGGGGATTATGAAGTGCAGGGAACCCTGTCCAATTCTATGGTCCCGTTGCACCACCGATCGAGTAGACTTGTTCTTCCTTGGAGTCATTTCGAAAAAATCTGGGAAAAAATTCCTCTTTCCACTGGACTCCACCTTTATTCATAACGATTGGGCGAGGTCCTTCGGTCAGGGGCCGTTAGCTGCAGCGGAAATTTTAAATTCTTATTGCATAACAAGATCATCCCGAAGCCAAACTCGGCCGAGATCTCAGAAAAAGCTGAGCAGCGCTGAGTATTTCAGGCTGCTTCCGGATCGTCACGGCTACTGCAGGTGGAAGAGACCGAGGGCTCATCCACCGCACATTTTCTAAGGATTTTCCACATTCTGCTCAGCTGACAGAAGAGAATCGACCAAGTCGAGTCAGTACCAGCGTAACGAATCGACTCGCGTCGATGCCCAGCTAGAAGGAGACGTCTAGGCGTGCTTACAACGTTTCAGCTCTCCCCCCCTCCCCCAGATGAATCTGCCACCGGCGAAATCTGCTACATAGGGTTTGCAGAAGTGACGCGACCCGGAGGAGGCGAAAAACGTCTCGCCTGCGTTAGACTGAAGTCGTCGAGAGGAATCTTCCCAGATATTACAGAGGTGAATACTCTCTGCATTCAAGCACAGATTCGAGCCGATTCGAAACGCTTCGGATGTGGGGTTCCGCTAGTCCCTTATATCAACAAGCTTTCGTCACGGGTGTATCTCCCATTCACCACCCTAGTCTTTTAAAACCGTGCTTCTCATGCCATATAGGTTAGTGTGACGACACGGTAAAAAAAACCGCAACTAATGACACTTGTCACCCTCTTGAAGCGGACATTTCGTCATGATTATGTGCATTCGCGTCACGGGTGACGCAGTCGAACCCATTGCCACTATTGCGCAGACTGAAATCGAGATTTAACGACGTAACGGTGAAGTCTTTTATCCACGTTGCATGAAGACCTACTTAAATTCATCGCGTCATTGTCGAGGAGCAGCCTCATGGAAATTAATAATATCCACTCTCGTAGAGGCACACATTTCAAGCGTGAAATAGCACGACTTTGACGGCGGAGGACGTGGATTGAAAAACCGACGGCAAAAAATCCGACGAAGACGAAAAACGAACACGAATCGTTACAGGGGTAGGTCGTAACAGGAAGGGTCGTTACAGAGGAGGATCGTAACAGGAAGGGTCGTTACGTGGGAGGATAGTTTCCGTGCTCGACATGAGGAAAATCGGTGCTTCCACAGTCTGTTTCTTTTCTGGGACGTTGCAGAACCGTGGACGACAGGGTCGTTCGTCATCATCTTCGCTATGTGGACGCGCACGGGTCAGCCAAAAAAAAAAAAGGGGGGGGGGGGGGGGGGAAGAGATTCAATATGCACCACGGTGCAACGTGCAAACGGGCTCTCTGAGGCAATGGCGTCAACCAACAGAAATGGTGCTTCCTCGAGCGGATCCTCACAGCTGACAGCACCCTGCATTGCAGCGTCATGCTTCGCAGATCGTCTTCACTTTGTTCTGCCTTTTCCTCTTCTTCCGTCCTTGCTGGGATTCCGGAACTCGAAAAGGATGGGACTCGTACTAATTGCTAAAGAAGTCGAACGCCATCGGGGCCACAGATTTCACAGTTCTCGAGCACATGCCGCCTGCAGAGGGTCTTCATCTGGAAAGTTTAAACGTGTAATCGTTGTTGTCGTTCCGCGAATTGCTGGGGTGGGGAAAAGCGAGGAAAAAAAAGTTTCGATGGAAATCTTCTGAGACAGGCGAAGACTTGACCATGGCCGTATAAACTGGGGCTCATCCGAGAATCAGGGCCAAGATCCTCGTTATCTAGAGACACCATACTTTCTACCGGGAAAGGGATACACGACCAGATTGAGCTCGGTCAATCTGGGTTCCCGACAGAGTGGAACCGATCAAAGTTGTGGTTTTCTCTATGGTTTCTGTGTCCTCCAGTGGTTCCGTCCCCCGTGGTTTCGTTGTCGAGGCGTTCCCTTACAGCGGCCTCTTGGGCCCGAGATTCCGCTTGTTTGTTTTTTTTGTGTTCTTTATTTTTTTATTATTAATTAATCATTTATTTTAATGGTATTATTATTTTATTTGTTTTTTTTTTTGGGGGGGGGAGAGGGGAGGAGGAGGTTGACTTGATAACCGCAAGTATAATCACTTGCGTCTCCTGCTGTCGGAGGAATAAATTAGCCCATTCCGTAATTAAACAAGGCACTCTCGATTGAATCGATGGCGCGACTCTACGAATTTGAGAATGAAATAAATTGCCTCATACTTGGCTATCATGAAGGCAGAAAGAGTTTGAATTCTTAAATAACTGACGTCACTAATTGTTTGAACTCTGTCCACTCGATCACTTTTGGCCTTCGGATCACATTTCGGTCCGCTCGGAGATCCACTTACTTCGATTTTGCATGCACTCGGAACTCGTGCGAGCATGAGAGATGACTTATTCATTCGGTCGAGTGTTACATAACAAATATGAACTTGACGGTGGTGTGGACCCCCACAATGCAACAGAATAGCCTTATTGATCGCCTGCTGGGCAATGGAAAAGTGCCCTGAGGCGGGCCGAGCAGACTCCTAGACTCATCCTAGACGCTTCTGTGATTCAGATCTGGCTCTCGACCGATGTTTGGCTCCGTTTTTGAGACCCTGTGGGTACCTACATGGGGTTACCACCTGTTGGGTAAATGACTTTTCGTCGTAGATATCTTCTTGACCGATGATGCGTATGTGCTCAGAGATATTAAAATAAGAGAGATAGAAAAAATTTAATTTTTCTTTGTCGGTCCTTCAAAATCAGGAACTGAGTTCTTGAAAGTGCTACGAATGCCAATTATTTAGACAACACTGAATCTATTTTTTCCTGAGACAGGTTCGATACAGCGAACCCTAGACATAACGCCTCTACTGGTCACTGCAAATTTCGGTGCTACGAGGGCGGCGCTCTATCGAACGAACCGCAGCAAGCTAGTGGCTACGCTACTGAAATCTTCTTCAGGCGTCTTGACAAAATGTTCGATTGTCTTTCCATCATACCCCCCCCCTAAAACTACTCACCCTTTTCCTTGCCAGTATCCATTCCGCAGGTGTGAGTCATCTCCCACGGTCTCGCCATCGGTCACGGTGGACAGTCGGAAGCAAATATTTAGCCGAGTACAATAATATAGAAGGGCTGCGGCATGC